AACCCATTAAGGACTCTTAAGGTGTCTGAGCCATTTGTTGATGAAACAATACTGATTTTGGAGGATCTTTGAGAGCGATATAAAATTCATCACAAGCTTCAGTACACTGATGATGCTTTAGTTGCTGCAGCAAAGCTGTCCCCGCAATATAAGGTGGTATCTATCTGCATTTGGAGATCGCTCATATTCATGTCTTTGTATCTTGTAACTCCAGAAAACATCATAGGAAAGATAACAAAGTGTTGTGGTCATTAAATTGTATTCTTAGTAATCCACTGTTACATGAAGTTGTTTGTTTTCTCACTTATTCCTTCTTTGTTATTGATTTTCTCTTGGCTAACTGGGAAAAATTTGGTTGCTTGCCTAGCTAGCTGTGGAAGCCAGAGAAGTTGAGAAAGAGCTTAGATAGCTTTGTACCCCAAATCAATTTATTATGCCCTTCTGTAATGGCTTACTTTTTTCTTTGGTCTTTTGTTGATTGAGTGGTTTCCATTTTTCTCTTTGGTGTATTAGGGTTTACTCTTCTACAATATGTCTTGGTAATTATGCCTTTAATTTTTAGCAGAAAAACTCTTAAATTTTTATCTTGTTTTCATGTTAGTTTATAGAAGGTTTCTGCAGTAATGATGAGTGCTTTGATATATTCGATTGGTGCTTTGGTAATCTGATCAATATGGTACCAATGTAGTTTCTATTTGTTGAGCACTATTCAAAAAGGGAGGCTTTGATGTCTTCTATCAGCATGTTTGAGACATTTTCATGTTGCAAAAGGAATTAACCTCAAAGAAAGTTAGTTATGTCTTTTTTTTTGTGTTGCAAATCAAGTTATCCATATTTTTGTTTTTGGTTTTGCTTATTCCACTCTTTCTATTCTTCCAGTAATGAAGTTAGGGGTCGTTGACCAAACGTTTATCTAGGTAAGAGCTTACTAAGTTACATTATCTTACCAGATGAATGTGGTAAGGACCATGAATCTTACCCGGTAAGAGCGAAACAAAAAAAAAGTCTTACCCAGTAAGTGAGAGCGATGACTCTTACCGCGGTTAGCACTTACCAGGTAAATTGTTGCATACAATGTCGTTTTTGTGAACTAAAATTTTGCCGGGTAAATAAATGATAGTGTTGAATTTTACCGATAAACACTTACCGGTTAAGTGTTTGGTAAACAACCCCTTAATTATGTGTCTCCCTCTGATCATCTTTTGTATTTTCTCGAGTCGTGATTAAGCCCTAAGACCTGCAGGTTCGAATTCATGTACTGTAGAAACCTTCGATCRACTTGTGATAATTGTTTAACTTTGGTCATGCTATTTATATAGATTTTTGAGGTGAGTCTATTTAGGTCATGAGAGGAAGTTGGGTTGCTACTATTACTAGGCCTATATTCATTCTATACTTGAAATCTAATTGTACAGATAACTTGGTGGTTGTTTTTTTTGCTTTTCATCTATCATTTTTTTTTGTTGTACAGTACCTAAGAAGTTGGCTTCTTTCTCATATGTGCACTTTTATTACAAAGGTTGCTCTACCAAGTTAAGAACAATTAGTGATAAGACACATTTCTTTTTAAAAAATGGCCCGTAAAAAGATAAAATTTCTGGTTCTTGTCAAGAAATCAAAGACAACTGGCCACATTAATTTCTTGGCTATGAAACCATTTTGACCGTTTCTTATATCTTGTCTTTTGAAGCTATTTCTAAAAAAACTTTTTAGGGGATTAGCAAACATATGTCTGGTTTTTGATGGTGCTTAAAAATGATTTGACTAATGCTAAACAATTCTTAACACCCTCTTTGATTAATTCCAAACATCACCCTCTTTGAAATCCCTTCATCTGCATTTTCATGGATTACAACACCAAGTTTATTATGTTGCTTCCAACTTTATGTGGTATCTAAATATTGAATTTCTCGTCGATAGAACTTTTGCATCCCGCTGCATTGCGCGGGTATCCAACTAGTATATATATATAAGCTAATATTTACCCAAAAGCAAGATCGATATCTTCAAGATCCCCGGTAAATCTTCGAGTCAAACAACGGAATCTTTCTTTTTGTCCGTCTTCTTTCCTGAGAGAGGTTGCCACTTAATGGTAAGCCAACGCTTAGTGAGTTAAATAGTTAAGTATTACATATCAATATCGCACATGTTCATACACATACATAATAAACTCTTATCAATAATAGAGTTCAAGACATCATCCAGATATGAACCGAGACTTACAAGGAACCGAGTGAACAATTACATACCGGATGCCAAAATCATAGGATTCCATATTCAAATCACCATAATATACCATACCATTGATGCTCAATACAACAAGGAGACAGGATCAACAACCAAATATATTCAACAACGTTAGAATACCGATAAATATTAAGAACCTAGAGATCAAATCGGTATACATAACGAAGACAGTGCATCACCCCGTCCTTCACCTCCCGGGCTCATGCCAAAGTCTAAGTCAGAATCATACATTACGGGAAACCTCGCACTGCCCGCCTTCCTGTACCGGGTATGTGCCAAGGTTCCCTACTCATTGCTGTTCCTCCTTTCTGAGCAATGAGTATTCACAACCGCAGAAAGTCTCACCCGTCCAACCCGGGATCTTGACTTCGCCATAAACTTCCGATGTGCCACACGAAGTAGTACCCGTACTATGGCGTACAANAATTTCTGGTTCTTGTCAAGAAATCAAAGACAACTGGCCACATTAATTTCTTGGCTATGAAACCATTTTGACCGTTTCTTATATCTTGTCTTTTGAAGCTATTTATAAAACAACTTTTTAGGGGATTAGCAAACATGATGGTGCTTAAAAAAGATTTGACTAATGCTACGCAATTCTCAACACCCTCTTTGATTAATTCCAAAACATCACCCTCTTTGAAATCCCTTCAATCTGCATTTTCATGGATTACAACACCAAGTTTATTATGTTGCTTCCAACTTTATATGGTATCTAAAAATTGAATTTATCTTTGATAGAACTTTTGCATCCCGCTGCATTGCACGGGCATCCAACTAGTAGATATAGATACATACACATGGGCATATATATATATATATATATATATATAGGGGCTGGTTCAAATACTAAGCAAAACTATTGTGCAAACTATGTTAACCCGATCTTGATCGTTTATTTTCTCATCAAATGGTCCTTATTAAATGAGACTATAAAAATAATCATTTAATTAATATATTAATTGAGATGCCTATGAACAACGGTTCAGATGGTACTTTTGTAAAAATATCGCATGAACACGGTGAACATTTATATGAACACAGTGAATGTTCATGGACATTACATGGATATGAACACCATGAACACCGTGAACATCGGAATTACCTCATGATCAATTAGAGGAATCTTAAAAGATTTGTAACTCCCAAATAATTAGTAGGGAGTTACATAAAGGTCAAATTACAAAATGACCCTTGTATTCAATTTATAAGTTACATTTGAACATAAAGTAAAGAAAGAATATGATTAGTTGATGTTAGTTAGTAAAGTTAACACAAAAAAATGGGTTAATATTTGAACCACCCTCTATATATATGTAAGGTCTCATAGGTTGTCACGCCTTTTATAGGAATAAAGGGCGCCATTGTTGTTTTGGTCACATGATCATGGTTATCCAAAACAAGCAAAAACCTCCAGTCTTTATAGGTATTTTTGTGGGGTTCAGTTGCATGGAAATGAATATGTGAAGTTGCAACTTAATTAATATATATCACTTTAAAACAACATATATGATTTGAATGTAATATTATATATATATATATATATATATTATACTAGAAGCGTACTTGCGCAATGCAGCGAGATACATCGTGATTTTAAAGCGGAAACACGGGATGCTAACAGACAAGCAGGGCATAGCAACAGTTCATAAATAACACTATTTTAAGTTGCTCAAAACAAAACGGTTCATCGACATAACAGGAGTTAGAGTTTACACAACGTTCATAATTACATCAAAAACTTGACTTAATCGATCTTGGCTCAAGTATGCTCCCTTAAAATCCAAACCACTCACTCAGAACCTGAAAAGCATGGAATAAAAACAAGGTCAACTACAAAGAGTTAATGAGTTCACGGGTTTTCACATGCATAAAACATTACAATGCATAAATCAAGTAATAGCAAACTTATGAGAATTCTTTGCACTTAATAAATGTAAATCTCTTGCGATGTAACCCTTGAGACGCTACTGAGCCTTACCTGACCAATATGCCCCATTAATTTTCGAACAACCAGAAGTAGCCCRWTCACTACYYTGGTCCCACGGTTCGATAAAGCACTAATTCAGCGGTGGTCCAAATTCCACATGATTAGGCTAGAAAACGTAGGTAATTGTGCACTCCTTTCTGGGTGGGACTGTCAACACAATAGCNAAAACTCCAATTTATAATGCTAAAACTCGAGTTGGGCCCGGTTGGTCCGGCTAGGTACCCATTTTGACCATCAACACTTAAAATATTCATAACTTTTCGCTCGGAACTCCGTTTTCTATGAGGTTTTCGCCTACACGTTCATAAAGAGATAATCTATAACATCCAACAAAAATATTTCAGAAAATATCTCCCAAGAAAATCAGTTTTACGTATCTATTTGACGTAATTTTTTTTCCAAATCCTCTAATATATTCTTAAGAAATAAAATTCTAAAATTCCAAACCTAAACTCCCACTAAATCATAAGTTCTCTTTAGCCCAATAATTAAATATACTAAGCAATAATTGGGCATATTAGAAATTGGATGTTACAACCTAGACCCTCGCTACGCTCAACTGAGTTCCTTGGGTAAATCCTTCCAACTTTGGGTGGACTATAGGAACTATCACTCTCTTATATTCTAACACAATTTGAAAACTCTGATCAGCAAAGGCAATCAGTTCATCTGGAATATTTATTATAGAGTCAATGTCTTCAACTTCGGTATGAGGTCGAAGGAACTGCATTTCGTAATCCGGGCCGAATAGTCTATCAAGTCTTGAAGGTATTTATTTGTTAGACAACATGATTGACCTGATGATCAACTGCAAAAATCTCTGGAACGGAACAAATGTCCTTGCTTTTGAGGGCAACTTCTTAGCATGGACCAATTCTGCAAGTTCATTCCAAAAAACTATTGTGTATTCATAGTGTTTGTTGAACACTATGCCATGGAATAATTTGAGAAACGTCGTACTGCAAGTATCGACGTCGGCAGTCTTCGAAGTAAGGCATCCGTTCAAGATTGAGAACAGAAGATGCCATATTGATGGTAGGAACTTGCGTTTAAAAACTACGACAGATTGTTGAGAATTCAAGAGTATCCCAACTTCTTAATGTCAACAGAACTCTTCATCCAAAATTAACTCTTCAAAATCATCTTTGCAAGGTACAAAGTTTGGTTTTGGCAGGTTTAGAATTCTCCGCAATCTCTTTAATGTTAGCCGTCTTAGGTAATGATCC